TACTACTACTACTACTACTACTACTACTACTACTACTACTACTACTATACTACTGTTACTGTACTCCTTCTACTATACGACTGCTGCTGCCGCCACCACAATCACCACACGACCACTATATCAAGATCTCATCTGCACGCCACTACTGGCTCTACTCATGAGACTCCAAATTGAAGTCTTTTTGGGTAATTGAATAGCATCCCATCCAAATTGATATAGAAAACACATGTCCATTACCACAAAACCGTTCGGAATGGAGACGGGTTCATGTGCCGAGGCCTCGATGCATTCTGGGACGGACTTCCCCCAAGAGCTTCGAGAGAGTGAAACACCCTGCCGTACTACGTCCGGTGCCCAGCCAGGTGAACGTCCTCAGTTCATAATATGCAACTACCTTTAATCCTATGAGCTGCAAGGGTTTATTGTCTCGTCCATGTTTCGACAGGTGCTCTAAAGATTTCAAGCCGCAGGATATGTACCCTAGAAGTCGAACCACCATTCGTTTAATGGCTCTACTATAAGTAGTAAGGGTTTTACATGTTTTACGCTACAAAATACCAGATCAACCATTTTAAGAATGGTCTTTGACTTCTCTCGAATATATGATAATATGGCCCCTCCAGGTAAGAACGGATCTCAAGCCGATATGACCCAGACCATCCATGTAATCACGGACTATTGACGTATATGATGCATGGACATGGACTCTGTCCAAACATATCACCCCAATTAGTCGGCACATGATTGTTAGGGTCAGAATATCCCCTATCCCCGTCCGCCCCATCCAGGGCTTAAGTCTTTCCTCTTGGAGCCTAGCTGCTCCAGGAGCTTCGTAGCTTCGCCATGAAGCCATCTGCGCTTGAAGCATGGACGATGGCTAAGACAGCTGGGTGTTCTCAAGAGATGTTCCGATCAAGTGATCCAGTTTTCCACACCAAACAATGACACCAGGAGTCGCAGGTCGCTCGCGCAGGTCGCAGGTGCCCCGTCGTCACATCAACTCACTAGATGGGACGAGCCAAACCACCCAGGCCCTCCATGCGACTGGTATAGTGTCTTCGTTGGAAGATGCCTGTTCGACCCCGAGGCTGGAACTCCACGCATCAAAGCATCAAACCCGGTGTACCGAAGGAACTCCTCCACCTGTTGCTTGTTTGGGTGTCCCAAAACGTGATCCGTTTTGAAGGTTTTTTCGTCATGGAGTCACACCAAACTCCAGGGTAGGCCATGGATGAACCCCGTGGGTTTTTGACTTCATCGCTCTACCGCGGGGCTTGGCGCTCCTCGCTCGACCGAACGGCTTCGGCCGCTTTTGACCGAACTCCCGGTGTCTTCCCCGCTACGAGGCCCGGCCCGAACATATGTCGGTTCACGAACTCCACTGGTTCCCCAAGAGGTCAAGGCATTCAATTTATTGGAGTTGATCATAGTTGGGGTCCGGGGCCAGGAGAGTCTGCGCCCACCCAGGTTTTGAGCACCAAGCAGGATTTACTCCTCGAAATCGTGGGGAAAGCTTCACAAACATCACCTCACTCCCGGGCAGGATCCAAACATCCAACTGTCTCGTCTCGTCCCATGCCCTCACTTCTCAGGAGCCTGGATCGTTGGATTGATACTCATCCAACCACCCCCGTCATTGTTCTCATCACTCCAGGCGGGTGAGAGCAATCACCGGTAGCCCTAGCCTTCCAGTTACCTGTATGTCCGGAACCGGGCTGGTTACCAGCCTCCGAGGTAACCAGGGTTGGTTCCTGGAACCGCCTAGGGGTTTGGCTCAATCTTTGTGACATGGCATGCTGTTCCACAAACCCAACGTCAACTCCCAAGGTTTGAACATGTTTTTAGCACAATCATGACACAACAACTTACATGAGTCTAACCATGGGTGCACAAAGGTGCATCAAAATCGCCCATGAAACGTGCCTATGCTCTGTGGCTTCACCAAAAGCAGCATCAAGGTGCCTGCCCCTTTGTGTTTGGAGAGTGGACGTCATGTCAAACCTAGTTTGTATATAAACGACTATGCTGAAGAACCATATATATATATATACATATCACGCGTGAACAGCAAAGTTTGTTGATGTTTGTTGTTTGGGAGAGTTGCACCACACACCACTTTGTGTCTCTTTGTCCGCAGCCAGCATCACATCAGTTGGTAACGCGCATTGCTTGGTCCGGATCCTGCGAACATGTCAGCAGGGGAGGAGATGGGGATCGATGAGCTCCTAGGTCAAAAGTTTTGTGGGCGCTAGTTACTAGGCTTGAATCTGATTGGATGGAAGTTGAATGGTATTTGGATCTAAGGTTGGATTTCCTCAAGTGCTTGATTGAGGAATGGGGCAAGCACATTGGGGCAGCAAATCTGCGGAAGGATCCGAGCTGTAGTCTTGTTGGAACAGCTTCTCCAGATCCTACCGAAGAGTCGGTTGTGACCCTGTACGACCCTGTTGCGATGATCGTTGCCCAATTTGGGGTAGTGCTCCCTGTAGCATCCAAATTTCAAGTTCTTGGGCTGCCATAATTGGTTTCATATTGTGTTTGATCAATGATCATGTTTCCCAAATGGTTTCTCTGAAACTCCCAACTGACAACCATGAACAAAGGCTGCCTTTCTCTACCTTGACCAACTTCTCCTCTTACATGGGGAGGGTGCGCTTCAGAAGAATGTGCAAGCATGGGCAGAGTATCAGGCGAACGTCCTTCGTTGCCACTGCACCTATTTGATCCGGCTTTGGAGGAAGTCAAGGGGCAGATCCAAGCTTTTGGGTTGAAATCGATATAACATTGCATGTAATTTTGCTTTATTGTATTCAAGTGCACATCTAAGACATTTTGCCCCATCTCCACTGATCTATTCTATCAGGTCGGAAAAAATCCAGCAGCTCAAGGACATCCTAAACATCAAGTACCCTGAGGAAGAGCCTGCTCCGGAACAGGCCACTCAGGCCACAGAGGCATCACTTCCCAACGACAGTGGGGGGGGCACCTGCTCCAGCTGAGCCGACAGGTATTGAGGGGGGCCCTGCTCCAGCTACTGCTGTTGTTGAGGCTGAATGCACTACAGCTGATCAGCCGGCAGAACACGGAGAGTCGAGTTTGAGTTTACCATCGACAGGGTCACACATGGACCAAATGGATACTCTTGCTATGGATTGGCCCCCACAGCCTCAATACCCGAAAACAACTTTGAAGAGATGGTGTCAGCCCAAACCTGGCGATCAGGCCCGCCGCAACGCGCGTTTCCAGTCCTGCAAGACTGCCATATAGCCAGGTGTGAGCTTCCACAGGAATTCAAACGACATGATGCGTGTAAGTATAGAAATTTGGGACCTTGTGCATCTTTGTTCGAATTCCTGTGGAAGCTCATGCCTTCCTGCAGAGTCACCTCAGCCGAATTATCTAGATCATCTGTAGGTTGTAGTTGTGTGGTCATGGGATTTGGACAGGTACATACAGGGGTTCGTGGAGGTGCTCCATCGGAGGAAGCTGGGGGGCCTGCAGAGTTGCATGGAGCAGCCCAATCACAATCAGTTGAGGAGGTGCCTGTAAGAACTATTCAGCGCCAGGTTTTGGACTCATTTGCACATAGCCTCACAGGCACTTCCAGATGTACCACAACAATCTGATGTGTTGGAAGCTACGCAAGCTGAGGCAGTCCCTGCGGGGGGGTGTGGGTGCAGGCTTCAAGTTCACAAAATCGAATACTAATATATAGTAATAGACACTCAACCATGGGCGACTGCAGATGAGGCAGTGTTGCAAGACTTTGTGGGTCATGTATGCATTGGCGCAGGCGCATCCTGGTCAAGAAGGTGATCATGGGCCTGCAAGACATCTAGCCCCTGAGGAGGTTTGTGGGTGTTGCAAAACTTTGTGGGTCATGTATGCATTGGCGCAAATGCATCCTGGTCAGGAAGGTGATCATGAGCCTGCAAGACATCTTGCCCCTGAGGTTTGTGGGTGTTGCTCAACTTTGTGGGTCATGTATGCATTGGCGCAGGTGCACAATGGTCATGAAGGTGATCATGAGCCCACAAGACATCCAGCCCATGACAAGGTTTGGACTGCTTTCGGATCCTTGAATTGTGCCCAACAATCTGCAAGATAATTGTGTTGCAGGTCCTGGTGCCCCATGAAAATGCAATGCTGGAAAACCACCCGGTGGAGGAGCCATCCTTGAACCTTGAAATGCAGTGCACTTGCACTCAACTCGTCACAAAAACTATACGACTCAATTTGCAGGACGGTCCTGGAGAACGTGAACAAGACCGGCCAGCTATGGAAGTTGTGGAGGCGCTGCAAATTCTGAAACAGCTGTAGAATAGGTAGACCAGTGTTGGGCCCAAACTTATATGACCACAGTAGTCCAAAGTCCTAAGGTTCCCCACATGCTATGGCAGCCGCGCCGCATCAGGCCAACCTTGGTGAGCGCGACGAGTTGGGAGAGCAAAGGGAACTGCAGGCCTGGCTACAAGTGGGTGCTGAGTGTGCAAAAACATTCTGGTTCATACACTCGCTTGTTCACTCCGCTTATTGTTTAGATGGGTTGGTGTCCAACACCTATCGATGAAATCGATGATCGACGACGCGTTGCTTTCAGGATGCATCTATGGATCAACCTGTTGGTGATGATGGAAATCAAGAGGTGTGGGCAGGGTTGAGGTGTGGATTTTGTTTGTAAGGCTATTGAGTTGATATGAGTTGATCTCATGCTGGATGCATGGTTGATGTTTATGCACAACAAATCAACTCTGATGTGTCTTGAAGTGTTTTTTCTTGGGCCTCGCACGTGTACAGGGTGAAGCAAAGAAGCAGCCTAGGCACTGTGCGATGCCATGTATGAGCATAGAAACATGTGCGTGCATACATAGTAAATAGGGACCAACTATATAGTGCGATGATAATATACATCTTTGAAGTTTAAACATGTTTTGCTGCAACAATTCTTTCTCACGACAGCAGGCAACCTTTGGTGGCACATCCGCCTAACTTGACAGAAGTCTTATCTGCAGTATGCCCACACGTGAATGACATCAAAGTGTGTGAAGACATTCTCAAAGAGCAAATTGCATTGAACTATGACTGCATTTTAGAAAAGTAGCTAGCTAGCGTTAATGTCTGCATGCACAGCTGAACGTAACCTCAATTGAGCTGTAGGCGTGCTGCTGCAAAAGCCAAAGCTCGAGCACAGAAGCCGAACAAGGGCAAGGGTAAGGGTCGGGGCAAGCATGCAGCACAGCTGGAAACAGCCAATGACGAGGAGCTCGAGCCTTCTGGGTCTGGGACAGCAGAGCAAGACCCTCCTGCAGCTGGCAAGGGGGGGAAAGGGAAAGGGAAAGGGAGGAAGGGCAAGAACCAAACAGTTCCAACCGGACCAGCAGGGAAGGCAAAGGCAAAGGCAAAGGCGTCACCAAAAAAGAGAGCAGCACCGAAAGAGCGAGCAACAAAGTCCAAGAAATCTAGGGGATCAAGCGCAGCAGAGAACCACGAAGTAGGCAGGTGTTTGATGTGTTCGTTTGTGTGTCAGCATGCACAGGGGCTGTTCACACACCTTGCATTGCATACTTAAATCTGCTGCCAGACCAAGAGACAAAAGATCGCCTCATGTCTCGTGTCCCAGCGCTACAGCACTACAAGGCCATGTCATGTCATGTGGTAGGGGTATTGCCTGATCCTCGCACGCCTGCAGGTTGTGGTCTATTGGTCCAGGGGTGATGTCACTGTGGAGATGAAGAAGACTGAGTTTTCGCGGAAGAAGGAGGCTTGGAAATGTTGTGTTGCTGTAAATTGTCCACCGGCACAAACCATGAATTGCTATAGCTGATTATTGCCGGTCAGATTGCATTCATTGGCGGCGCTTCTATGCCCAATGCATTGCATATCAGTATCGACCTGTGCGCGAAATTGGCACGTTCCTTAAACTGGAAGCTTCATTGTTAGCAGCTTTTGATGTCTAGCACACCCTTGTGACCTCTCCATGGATCCACACTACGTTCCATCAGCATCATGCGTTTTCATTCTCAGGCGGTCAAATTGGATTGTGGTGAATCTCTGACTGAGTCAATGCGGCATTTTTACAAGTCTCTCCAGAGCTACCAGAACTATTTTCTGAATTCCCACCCTGCCGAGTCCAATGGGGCAGAGGCAGCAGCTGTGGAAGAGGTTGACTAGCGCCAGGTTCTGAAAGATCCTGCCAAGTCTGGGGACGCATGTTCTTCCACTCTGATCCCTGCTACACAGCTAGCGCTTGTCAGGCCCACAACTCATGATTAGCATGATTAAGCATGCACATGTGAGAAAACACTTGAGCACCAAATTGAACTGCTTTAAGTGGGTCTGAAGCAATTTTGGGGACAACTAGCAGGGTGAGTGGTGACTGGGGTAACTTGACATGCCTCCAGATCCATGTACGTGATCTCTAGTTGGGGCTCTTCCTCCACAGCCCCCCCAACATAGATCCAACAAGCTGTAAACTTGTAGAGAACCTGGTTGGATGCGTCTATGTGGGGGTGTGGGGGCGTGGCCCAATGGAAGCTGACTTCTTGGAGCACGAAAGAGCCGGCGACAAACTTGCAATGCTATATTGATTCCATCTTGAAGTTGCAGCTAGAGGATTTGCTAACTTGGAAGAATTCAAAATCAAGACTCAACACTGGATGAATTGCACGTGCATCATTTCAGGCCCAACTTTTGCACAGCTATCGCACGAAGCCCGAAGCGCATCCCTGTCGCCCACCCATGCCTGCATCTTTGGGTTTGTCCGCATTGGAAGCTGGATTGATTCTGGCCTTAGGAGGGCCGCCAATCTTGCTTTTCGCTTGCACGTTAAAGAAGGAAAATAACAAGTTCATGGAGTGAAAGCAAAGGAAGTTTTGTCAAGACTGAATTGCACTGAGCTAGTGCATGCTGAATTAGGGTCCATCTTCTGGACTATGTGGCACAAACATCTGATAGCAAGTATCGAAGAGAGCCTTGGCTGCAAACTTGCTTGATGTTAAACAGCTTGGGGCAGTGATGCTTATGCCCAACAATCTGGTTTGTGTGTGGACCCTGAATTCAGGATTTGCTGGGCTTCGATCTGTTTTGTGGTTGGGGAGGAATTTGTCGTGCCTTTAGCCCTTGCCTCAACTATTCACCAGATATGTTTCTGTTGGCAGCAGTGTAAACTAGGCCTCCTTGCTGAGGCCGCCTAGACATGAAGTGCGCACTTTACGACTTGAGCAAGGACCCTTCCATGGATTTCAGCAGTACGTTGGGCACTTACTCTTGAAAGCTATATAAGGAGATCAATGTTGCTCGACAGTTTTGTTTACCTTCAACCTTGTGTGTTCGAGCGCCATGACAAGTTCCAATTTTGGGGTGTTCCAGTAAAAGCCTGTAACCAAGGCTTGGTTTCCTGATCGCACTTCAATACATTCTCCGCCTCAAGCCTGGCGGTCTGCTTTGGTCTGGATTGCCTTGCTCAATGCATGTTTGGGTGAGTCGGGGCACAAGTGGGAAAAGCCGTGGAAATCCACGGGGTGCAGTGAATGGCAAGTTCCGACATTCATGTGTCGAACTTGCAAATCTTCTAGCTGCAAGGTTTGCCTTGTGTGTTTTGGTGTGTTTAAGCAGGCAGGTGTTCTGGTGCACAGAACAGCCTGTGAGCAGTGTAGCTCAGTACCTGCCATACCTGGAAGTGGCGCTCTACCCGGCCAAGTTCATGATTGGCTTTGCTGCAGGACTTTTCCAGAAGTTGCACCATGTCAGTATATATTGCAGAACAAAACTATGTTGCACCAAACCGTTCTTCCGGTTAAATATCGAATCAACACATATCACAACCCCTCGTAGAGTTGCAGTCTTCAACATCTGAGTTGGATGGGCCTGCTTGGACATCGCTCTTTAAAGCGCACTGTCATATTTGGAGATGCGTCCCTTGGAAATGCATCTGCACGGTATATATAATAATAGGTCATCAAAACATACCGGCCAACTACCTCTCATGTTCAAGACCCTTCAGGTTTCCAAAGCTGCTTTTTGTGTTGTTTTCTGAGGCCTTGGATCTTTCAGTTCAGCTTGCAAGCGAAGGTCACTGCCATGGACCGGAAGACACACAAGTGGAACTCAGATGGCAATGTACGTGTGTCTATAAAATCTGATGGCACCAAAAATGTGTCTCTAGGCTGAAGATGGCATTCAGAAAGTAATGTGTCGTTTCAGTGCCAATACTGCCCAATTAATTAACGCTAGAATCTAAAAAGATTGGACACCGTCTCATGAGGTCTGGTGGGCCAAAGCTAAAGGACACGCAGTCATACCCTGCTACATTCTGTAGCAAGGTGGCTTCCTACCACAAGAAGTACTGCATTGAAGCTTGCATATGTATTACTTGTCAAAGCAATACAAACCTAAACAGCATGTATATACATATGTCTTTTTTGGTCTGTCTTGGAAGGTTTCTGCATAAAGGAATTGCAAGCCAAAATTGTTTGGCATCTGTGAGGATACAGGGATGCTGCCGCCCCGTCCTGACACACACCAAGCATTCGTGGGTCCGCACGCATATGCTACTTGGCCATATATACTGGGGTCAATGAGGGCTGGTAGTCTGGTAGTGTGATCTTCGCATACAATATGAGATGTGTTGGATTTGGAGGTGTGTTACAAGATCTTCCTGAGTGGACCAGTTGATTAACACAACAATTCAATTGGCCCTTCAAAGTTTCTTGAACACCCCTGACTCCAGGTTGGGAAATCTCTTTGGGATGATGCTGGCCTAGCTTCTTGGTGAGTAAAGCCCAACAAGCCTGTAAGTGTGCACTGCTTGGTCCCCTGCTGGTCAACAAGCCGCCCAGGAGCCACTTGTCAAATTCTTGGAGGATGAGATTCGCCTTGGCCGGTTCGTTCCGAGGGAGGGGCTGCCTTTGAGGGTTGCCCCACTCTGCAAAAGAGAGCAGAACATTTATTTTGATATGGTAACTCCAGAACAAGCTGGAGGAAAGCGCAAACAGCACTAACATGTTTCTTTGGCTACTGCCATCCCTCTAGAGTTTTGAACAGGTCCACATAGTGGTCTTGAACCAATTAAAGCTCTTCTAGTCTTTTTGAACTGTTCCTTGCAGTGCTGTGGTGCTGTGCCCAATTAAAGGCCAATTCGTTGAAGCAAAGCCTCTTTGCCAAGAAAGCCTTTTGGCTGTGGATTACCACAAACGTTTTCGGGGGGGGTCAAAAAGTGTGGTTTCGTTCAGATTTAATATGCTTTATATACTGAAAGGTCCATTGTGATGCAAGTTGTCCTTGTTCATCCTTGTTCTATGGCCAACTCCGTGGATCAAGCTCAACTACGTGCACTGGTGGCGTCCATCTGCAGGACAAATTTGTCGAACACCTGGACTTAGGAACCGTTACTAGGGGGGCTGGAACCGTTACTAGGAGGGCTGGAACCGTTACTAGGAGGGCTGGAACCGTTACTACGGGCCTGGAACCGTTACCAGGGGTTTGGAGCCAAGAACACTGTACACCAACCCCACATGTAAAACAAATTTGGATCGGTTTAGTGAGATTTTGGTCTGTCCAGGACCATGGGCCGTCCGAAGAAAGCTCAACCAGTGCAGTCGCCCTCAGACCCCAACAGGGCACAGAGCTTTCTGGCGAAAGCTCGTGAGGCAATTGCTCTTGCGAAGGATTCCACGAAGAGGAAAGTGTCTGATGCCAACCTCCATCATGACCCGGACCTCGCACTGCCTGCGAATGCCAAGGCCAAGTCCAGTGGTAGTGTGCCAGCAGGGAAGCGCCCACCCCCGTGTCCAGCAAAAGCAACACCGAGTGAGTCAGCGCATCCAAAGCCTGCAGCAGCTGCACCTGAGTCAGCGCATCCAAAGCCTGCAGCAGCTGCGCCTGCTGCTCCCAAGCCTGTGCCAGTACTGGCAAAGCACTCACCTCAGGTGCCACCAGTGAGATGCAATGGCAAAACAAGCGAGGAGGAACTTGCACGTCACTGCCCGAAGGCTTTGAGCATAGCACCACCACCTCCAAGGGCAGCCAGTGAGCTGAATGATTCACCAGCAGTTTCCGCCACGCCCAGCAGTGGGGGGGCCACAGCCTTTGACAGAACACGGATGTGTCTGGAGAAGGCCAAGCAGATCCGCCTGGCAGCTGCTGGTATGACTTCTAATGCATCCACTGCTGAACCAGTGATCACTGACAAGGTCTCAGCGAACAATTCCAAAGAGACGACGACTTCCACTGTGAGCCTGTCAATCCCTGAGGCCAGTGAGAAGAACTCCACACAGACTGTGGTTCATGCCAATGCAAAACACGACCAGGCGTGTTTTGAGACTGTGCAGCCTTCCCAGCAAACAACGCCAAGTACAGATGGTAAGTCATCACCAACAGTGCCGCCTACAGATCTGTGCACCCCACCACCCAAGCAACCGGCTCATTGGGCATCAGCAACACCGTCTCCCGTGAGCAGAATGCAAAGTTTGAGCTCATGGTGTTCAGAGGACTCTGGTGAATGGGCCTTCAATGGGTGTAGCCAGCGGTCATACTATGGATCAAAGGGGCAATCATGGTGGGCACCTGGGTGGGACTACTACCCTCCCAACCAGTCTTGGTTTTGGGATGAAGGCCATGACCGTTATGTTGGTGCTTGGGGATCCCAATCTTGGACATGGAAGAAACACAACACCTGGGCTGAAAATGACTGGGAGGATTGGCAGCCCAAGGAATCAGATGAACACACAGGCCCCGACAATGCTGAAGAGGATGAGGTTGGCCATGATGCGATCCGCCAAGCCCTTGTTGCCCGTCGACCTTCATCTCTTTCAGAGTTGGCACAAATCGCTTCTCCTCACGGGGACTGTGAACCTGCCATGTCAGGTTGCACCAAGCGCAATGAGCCTGGTGATGTCAAACAGGCTGACATGATCACCGAGCAGCTAGAGCAAGTGCTCCATGAAATCGTGGCTAGTGATGGGAATGAGGGTGCTCTGCGCAAACCTGACACACCCCAGCATGTTGCCCAGGAGCAGCATGTGGAGACTGAGGACCCTGCCCAACCAGGTGGAGAAGCCGTCGAGACTCCTGATGAGCGGGGTTCTGGCCCCCATGGATGGAGGTGTGACAAACATGGTCAGCCATGCTCACCGAAAGCACTCTACATGCGCTTCTATCGATCTATCCGTAGTTCCTCACCTGCATATATCCGACAACAGGAGGCAACAGACCCTAAAGTACAATTTTTGGAGGTGGCCTTTTATGGCCCTAAAAGCTTCTAAAACGAATACAAAAGGCCATCTCCAAAAATTGCCTTTTAGCGTCTGTTTGTTTTTCTTGGATGGTGATTTCGTTGATTGATCGCTGAAATATGTCAACTTAATAAAATCAACCACATTGGGCACTTTGTGGAAAGGCACTTCCAAATACGTTGTTCCATGAATAATCACGGCCTGGAAAGTTACTCTATAATTGTCGCATACAAACCTAGTTTCCTGTCAAGGAGCTTGTATGAATTCTGCATGACCCAACTTCAACGTTGTTTGGATGTCTCATGTCTCTCAGGCGTGAAGAACCCACCTCCAGACGAGGTCGTGGAAAAAAAGATTGAAGCGGAGAAGGAGAGTCATATGACTGCATCAACATATGTTGTTCTTTTCCTAGGTTGCAACCCTCATCCCACAAAAGCCTGTAAAGTAGGGAAATTTTAATTCAATCAAAATCAGTACTAGTGATATCTTACCAGTCTGCCAGTGAGGTTCCAGACTTGGAAAAATGCATGAGCTCTACCTCCATTGGCTGAGTTGCAAGGGCGTATGGAAGCAATCACTGCTTTGTGTGAAAGTCTTCAAATCCAATACTCACGAGCAGGAAGAGCTTTACAGCTATATCACCAAACCAGCTCTTGTGGAACTCTATGGGGAGCAGCTAGCAGCAGATTTGATCCAGCGTCACATGGACGCGGAAAGCAAGCTGCCAGCCAATAAGAAAAACACATTCATTAAGCGGATCCTCAGCTCAATATGCCCCTAGGGGACCAATGCATGCAAGTACATCAATACCATCCCTGGCTCCAAACCATCGATCTAGCCCTTGAACTCCCAATCCCACATCCCTGTCGCCTTGCTTTGCAAAGTTCAGGAATCCGGACTTCCCTGACAACCAAGAGCTCTGGCGCTACAAAGCTTTCATGGGCATCCAGCAGAAAAAGAGGGAGGTGCAGGGAACTTCTGCTGAGTTCACTCGGGAGGCAGAAGTGGAGGAAGACGATTGGTTTGAGGGTGCGTTCCTTGTCCAAACTTTTCTTTAAAGACTTCGATACGAGCTTTTCCCCATTACCTGAAGATCATGATCCCTGTGCATGTGTTAATCGTTCATGGGGAATGCCTGAACTACTTTTATGGTTGAACCAGCTATTCCACACTGCTGCTTTTCCGAGGGAAAATGCCTTGGAAGCTGGCGATCAGTTTTCCAGTGGGCCTGCTGCTGGCAGACCCCTCCCGCCGCCACCAAAGCCAAAGAGGGAGATGAAGCCAAAGACCATTGAACAGAAGCTTGCATCCGCAACTTGGGCACGTGCAGTGTACCCACAAAAAAAAAGACCTTATATTATATTGCCGCTAGCTGATATATATATATATATATTGAATAGGGGCGGAAACTGGTTTTCTACTGCTATACCTGACCATGCTGGCCATGGAGCAATCCAATGAGGCAAACAACACGGCCCACCGGATGCTCACGGAGTCCATTCAATTGGAGACGAAGTTGAAAGGTGGGAAAGTGCAGCTTAGCCATGCATTAGAGTCAAACCCAGCTACAATGTCTAGCTGTGCAGTGGTCCCCAAAACACACCCAGTGTGGCTGAGCCCATTTGGAAGCGGTGTTTGGCGTCAGTTTGGTTGGATGTCACGTCCCCGCCGTCAGGAAAGAGGCCTACAAGACTGCGCTCCTCACAGATCTGACCACTGCACGGGATCTCCTCAGTGCGGCAAAGGAGCAGGCTGTGAAAGCCATGGCAACGAAAGCTGGGCTTGATGCTGCCGAAGCCGTCGCTGGGAACGCATTGAAGGGTGGGAGTCGGTTCAATTTGGTTCAATGAGATCCTAGATGTATGATTGCATGCCTGATCACGGACTTATATAGACCCTTTACGAATGAAGTCTTTCAACCATTCGCTGTGGTGCCGCTCACCTGAGGAATTGCAGCGACAGCTGGATGAGTCCAAGAGGATTGCAGATTCCGTCAAAAGCCAGGTAAAGGACAAAGAGTCCAAACCAAAGGCTGCTGCTAAGGGGGGGAACAAAAGGAAAACCCCACCGGCAGCTTAGGTTCTTTTCTTGGGTGTGATCGCAAACAGATCATGTGCCTAAATGGCCAAGGGTATTTTTGCAAAGCTGCACTGGTCAGTTTACTCCATCACTTGCATTGCCCTAAGACTCTCAAAGTATGTTCCAGCACTTCAACACCTGCAGCTTGCTTTGCTGGCGCGATTGATTAGACTTCTCCGGGCTGCTCCCAAGCAGTACTGTACTTTCTGAAATTATACAGATGTACCAACCACAATCAAGAATGATTATTTGTCCGTATATTGCGGGGCACCTCTCGGAGAACCTTTGGTTGCGGCAGATTGGGGGCCTGCTGTGTAGTCATAACTGCGCAGCAAGAACATCACCGCAAATTCGAGTGAAAAGAGCTAAGTGCAGCCGGTCGATCAGGATGACACACGCACAGGCTACAGGAATGAAAGGTTGTGGGAGCTGCATCCTAGAGACTGTGTTGGAGCACTTCTGGTGCATTGCCCCACTCAGGAACTGTTTCCACCCACGCTGGTGTCCACCCACACTGGTGCACTCCCAGTTTCCCTAGATTCCTCCCACGCAGGTGCTGAGCACCAGCGCCTTTCTGACGAAGCAGCTTTTGCACAACGCCTGTGCCACGGCTGCAGTATTTTGCAGCAAGTCAATGCAGCGCAGGTCAACAAGAAAATAGTTGAATGGGTTCTGTCCAAAACCCCATACTTCCGTTATTCGTGTTCTTTTGAACTTCAGGCTTGGGAGTGTGGGAGATGGTCGTGAGAGTGCCACTGGTGCCATCAAGCAAGCAAAAGCCGTGGCCAAGGCCAATGTTCCATCGTCATTGATTGACAGTCTCCATGCTGTAATCAGTCAAGTGTGCATATACTTTGATGAACAGTTTTTTGTGTTTTGAGTGAAATCGAGCACATGCATTGCAGGAAGCTGGACCAAACAATGTCCACGAGGTGACCAAGAAAATAGCTTCGATGAAGGACAGCAAAAACTGCTCTCGAGACCTCTTTCGATTTATCAGATCACCTGCTGACCTTGTTTATGTCACCTGCCCTGTACGAGCCCAACCCCACGATGACAAGATTATCGATGATTCGCTGGCCATGATTGACCCTCACGAATACCTAGAGTATTTGTGGTGCAACAACAAGATCAAGGTTTCAGAAGATGTCATTAGGAAACTTGGACCCACATCACAAAACGATTTGTTCTTTTATATACAAGGTCCCCCTATATAAGTAACCTGTTTTGTTTCCAGCCAACTAGCCAACTTGCTTCCAACTTCATTGCATGGCCATGCCGTTTAGGAAGTACTGGGAACATTGGAGCTCTGTCGCTAGTTGGGCCACAGCGCATCCTGGACAGCCTGATGCAATGCCTGTGGCTGTTTATGGCGACGAGGCCAAAGTCTCTGAGCATAGTGGCGATAAATTCATTGCGTTGGTGCTCCAGTCTCCCCTAATCAGGAAGAAGGGTTGCCTTTTTGAATTGGATCCACAACCCACTCCATCCAGTTTCCAACTGATATATTCCAGCCACGACGTATATACATGTATGGTCAGTATATCTGGACGGAATGGGATGATATTTTCTATTTGCGATTATTTTGGTTGCAAATATTCAACAATTTGGTTTGAGGGGGGTTGGCAGCAACAAGATTCCAAGTTTGGTTGTACGGGGTGGCAGCAACAAGGTTTGGCATGGGCAGAGAACTTCTTATTCTTCATAGTTTCATCTGCCATTGCTGTTGGTGCTTCCGGGATTGCAGCCTGGCTATTCTAGAAGGAGTCAACTTTACAGGTTTCCCCTTGAACCGGTCCCTCCGGGAACTTGCCTCTGGAAATGCAGCCAGCGCAGCCTCCCAGCGTGCCTAGGACACATTGCGGCCGGTTCTGAGAAGAGCTGCATGGAGCTTGAACATAGCAGTGATTGGCCGGCGGCCCCCTGCGCACATCTCTCAACCTTTCAAGGTGGGTCGAAGGGGTAAGGATTCTAGCTGGCAAGATTTATTTTCCTGCCTTTGAAGGATGGAATCATTAGGGGGACACCATGTTCAGACCCGTCAGTCAAAAATCATTAAGGAAAGGGCTGGGCAAGAAATGGCCCAGCGTTTCGCATTGATGGAAGTTAAAGGCGATTGGAAATGGATTGTGGAGACCTGGTCCTTCCCAAAGTTCTATTGGAAAGCTGGCAGCATTTGTTGGAGATGCAAAGCAGCACGCCTTCCCAGGCTTGTGGGTAGGTGGTTGCATATTAAATTGACTGATGGCGCTTTTGCCACAACCCCTGGCCCCATCAACGTATAACTGTACAAGAACTCCCCCCTGCATGTAGGTTTGGCCCGTTGTTCATCGACTTCGACAGAGACTGGACACTACGTACCGCCGAGGAATTTGAAGCAGAAGTCCTGCAGGATCCACCCAACCCGCTGGTTGAGGTTCAGGGGTTTCACGTCAACATGTTGTTGCCTGGCCACTGGTGAAAGTCATATCCTTTTCTTTGTAAGTGTGGGCCCTGTACGGACTTATAAAAACATATGTGCACACGTTTGTTTATTTACGAAATGTCAACTCATTAATTGTAGCTGGCCTAGGTGGGCACCATTGGTTGAACATCTAAGGAAACATTGCGCAATGCATTGCAACCAATTGGGAATTTTCCATGTGCTCAATGCAGAGGGAATTATCATGCTTGCAGAAAACAAAGCTGGCCGCTGGGGGTGTGATTTTAACCAAGCACTCTACCACTTGTTCAACGACTTCAAAGGGTTTTGCTCTCGTGAGCGCATTACTTGCTCGCACCGGCGTTGGCGTCGATCCCACCTTCACATGGAAACAGTGGTCTCTGGGGTACATGTGCCGACACACCCCTGGCTAAATGGAAAAGCTATGAACAGTAGAATCATTCTGGCTTGGATTGCCGCTCCTTGGTTGATGTTCCACTACCAGAAAAAGTGTTGGATCCTTTCCGTCTGTTTTGGCAGAATCTATATCGGGTAGGATCGTCTCCAGCTTCACGCCCAGGATGAACTGAGCACTGGACTGGATGAACTTCTCTCGCCATTGCCAGCGGAAAACGACGTGGCTTCAGCAAAGAGACGACAGTTATGGGGTTTGGGTATTGCTACAGTGTCCTTGGGTGACAGCTTTGCAAGCTTTTGGTGTTTGTTGCCAAAGGTCTCCGTAGTAGCGAGGGCAGCACACCTATTGGTGGATTTGTTGTTTATTTCTAGATGTGTAGATGTGAACAAATTATATAACTGCAGGATCTGCAGGGTTCTTTGGTCTGCTTGACCTTCAGGTGTAGCTTTGCTGAGTGGCAGCGTTTGGTTGAGGAGTTGCCAATCAAGATGACTGGCAATGATTCCAATATGCTGTGCAACCTTGGAATTCAGTGCTGTCATTTCATTCATGCTGCAGCATGCGAGGCAGCTGGCCAGGCTCTCTTGAGATGGCAAATCTTACCAAAGCTCCACGTTTTCCATCACCTCAATCTAGATGTGAGACGGGATCATTACAATCCCCGTGGGTTTCATAATTTCTCCGGGGAAAGCTACATGAAAGTTTTGAAGGCAATCTTCATGACTGCGAATACTGGACCAGGAGTTGCGGAACGTGTCCTAAAACGGACAATGTTGAGGATCCAAGTCAGTTAGCCCAACCGAGGCTTATGCCCGCAGAGGAAAAATAGGACTTCAGATCTTATTTAGATGATAGTTTATAATCTGGTATTCACATGAATTCATCTGTCGCCACGATCGCTCGTCGCCGCGACTCTGGTTCCAGTAGTTCCTGGAACTGGGGCCCAGTTACCTATGAGAGAGGTAACTAGGAGGGGCTGGGTAGGTCAAAACCACTGACCTGCAGGTCGGAGTAAAATGGATGCCTCTTGGTATAACGAACGGACTGCACATCCGCTTGATATGCTTCATCCAAAGGAACATGATTCAACATGATCCCTCACTTCGGTGTGTGACTCTTCAAAAGGATCTTCCTCCCGTTCCGGCCCCCGGAAGCCTGGACCACAAGCCATTGGTGCAGGGGAGGGGATTGCATTCTCCAAATACCAAGCTTCCACTTCATCTCCCAGCTCCCACATGATCCCACATGATCCTCAGCTTGGTCCCACTTCATCCCACTTCATCCCACTGCACCCAGTCCATCTTTCGACCGGCCTTGAGACACCGCGGAGACGGCGTCATACCACTTGGAGCTCACTTGTCGAGTGAAATGCTCTCGCGTGCGAGAAGATGGCGCCTTGGCGGCGCAACGGCTGCCCGGCGCCTCGGCTGGCACTGGGGCGGCTTGGGGTCCGCTTGTGGAGGGTGCAGAAGTGCCCTCAGTGCCCTCGCAAGGACTCATTGGTCATTGGATCTGTTCGATGATTCCAAGGATGCGGGCAGACGGATCTGGGCATGACGTCATGATACTGCAGGGATGACATGGTATGACTATAAGTGGGTTGTCTGGGGAGAGGCTGAAGTTGAGCAAAAACACGGCAAAAATCATTTGACCGTCCCAGCCACGGCCCTCTTTGCTGGGTGGCAGCCCAGGATAGCCAGTGTTAGGGCGCTCGCTGGGTGGGCAAAAGGAGACCGGGCTGTGTTAGACCGCACACAGTCTAGAAGGTCCGAAGTTTGGAGACGGGAGACGTGAGTCCTCAGATCCAGTGAAAAGGTTTTACAATCCAAATGGGGACAGTCATGGAAAGTCTTAATCAAGATTCTTCCTTCTACCTGGTTTTTTCAACATGTTTGGTCTGGCAAGACCGCTGACTCCAGCTGTCCAACCCTCCAGCGCACCGCGGCGGACCAGCGACCAGCGACCAACACACGCGGTTGGTCCGAGCGAGGCGCAGGAGGAGGAGCTAAGGCATGAAGGCGCAAGCGCACTTGCAAATGCGCCAAGGTCCGCAGCGCTTCCTGGAAAACGTTCCAACGAACACGTGCCCCAAGACATCTGTGATGTTTTTGCGTGGCGTCCAAGAGAAGCGAAGAAAGAGAATTGCTTAAGATGGATCCTAGCAATCCTAGCTGCTTTGGATGTGAGCTTTTGGTGGTTTGCTTTGAAGCTCACCTAAGCTCACCGCTGGTCACCGCCTGGTGTGGTCGGATGGACCGAAGAAAAACACCATCGGAACTGGTGTGGGCGGTCGGTCTTAATCACAGCACTCAACACAGACCGATGGATTACGTGAGACTTGCGATCGCCGGAGCGGAGAAGAACACGAGCGAGCGGAGCGGCTACTGGGGTGTTCAGCTCAGCTCGATCGCTCGATCTGATGTCGTGAAGCCCGGCATCTGGTCGAGTCGAGTCGGAGGCCGGTGTCATGTGTTAATATCTTGATCTGGCTTCCAGAAATACGAACGCACCACTGGAGGCCAACTTGCGGAAGGCGAGTGGGAATCAATCAACCACTTCGCACTGTGCATTTGACATCATTTGACCAATGTTTGAGAGCATGAGTCTCGATTGCTGACCTACGGTATGGAAGAGCAGGACAAGAATGCAAACCACCAAATACCATCAAATTCCACCAATTCACTGACCTTAAGTTCAGCCCATGTCTTCCTCAAACGAGCACACGAGCACCTAGAGCCTCTTTCCACACACACATCCTGCCACCAGTTGCTCATGTTCAAATGATCCAACAAATAACCGTTCAGGTCCCATGCAAAAAAGAAGCACGTGCCCCACCACATGCGACCCGTTGGCGCCGCCCGCGTGCCTTGTCCTTTCCGAGGGGCAGCAAGCCCTCATAGCGGCCCTGGTGAACCTGCGTCGAGTTCGCCACTGTCTCGAGTGACAACTGACGTCCGAAGAGTTCAGATTAAAGATAGTACCTGTTCAAGATAATTGGCTCATCTTGGCTCAATTGCCACATGGTCCATGGTGTTTTCTTTTTAAGGACTTTCAACAAACAAAGTGGTCTTTAATCGTCGAGCCAGGATGATTCGACCTGGATAGTCGAGCCGTTCCGCTTCTTCACCTCTTGTCGTTCCACGATCCACGGACCACAGATCCAAAACAACCGTAAGGCTCATCAGGTACCCAACACTCCAGGTATGGAATGGTCATACCGAGTCATACCCTACAAGTCAAAAAACATATCATTTTATACTGGAGATGGTCGTACAAAACCAATACTGATGGATGCAAAAGACCAGGTTCTACTGGGTCTTTGGACTGGTAGGGATACAATGTCAAACATTTACAACATATACAATTTATATGAACATATAACCCGAATGTAGGTCACTCATCGAACAACATAAGTGCCAGTCAAACGGAGCGGAAGGGGGCACGGGCACCGACACTGGCGCCGACAAGCCATGGCTATCTCGTGGAATTCCTATTTTCTTTGCTCTTTTTCTGCCTTCAAAGCAATCTCAAAAAATGGTCTCAATCTCAGGGAATCATGGGTCTCAGTTGTATTCAATTGTCCCTGAAGCCATTAGTTTCAACTCCCTGTCTGAGCGCCTTGAAAATGAAACAAATGGTGTCCATGAACCATACCAAACTGGGAGATGTTGCTTCGTATTTATGACTCTGTATGATCACAAGTTCACAGCAAACTGGTCTTCTTAGGCTGCCCGGTCTTAGACTTAGGCTGTCTGAAGGAAGGAGCTCAAACAATATAAAGTGAAGGCTGGAGACATGCGTACCCTTTTTCAGAGCTGTATGGGCACCACCACCGTTGCGATCTGATTGTGTCACCGAGGTTGTGGGCACCAAACGCTGAGATGGCATCAGAACCGTTCGGGGTGTCTACTAATAACCCCTCAGAGGTTAAGGGCTGTCCATTAACCACCCCTTGGGGGTAACTCATTATAACTCATGATAGAAAATGACGCCCCTGGTGTCATCAGTCATTGGAGTCTCTGAGAAACCGTCCTCCGGTCGTGCGACTCATGCAACATCAAGGATGATTGCAAGCTTTGGAAACCTTGACCAAGGAATACAAAACCCTACAGGTCAGTTTGACCTCATTTTACTGGACTTGACCATACAAAAACACTACTCAATGAGGTAAAGGACAAAGTCTTACTGGGCTATAGTAGAGTTGACCAATGATACTACTGGGATATGGGGATAGTGGACCCATGATTCTTCCATCGCAATAGCTGCCGCCGCCCATGCTTGCGCCAAAGTTCACTGTAAAACAACTATACAGGCCAGTTTGACCTCATTTTACTGGAGTTGATCATACAAAATCACTACTCAATCCGTCGCAATAGCTGCCCAAAGTTCACAGTAAAAATAGAAGCTATACAGGCTATACAGGTCAGTTTGACCTCATTTTACTGGACTTGATCAAAAACACCACTCAATGAGGTAAAGGACAAGGTCTTACTAGGCTGTAGGGTTGACCAAGGATTACTACTGGGATATGGGGATAGTGGACCCATGATTCTTCCATCGTAATAGCTGCCGTCGCCCATGCTTGCGCCAATGTTCACAGTAAAAAAAACTATACAGGTCAGTTTGACCTCATTTTACTGGAGTTGATCACACAAAACCACTACTCAATGAGGTAAAGGACAAGTCAAGGTCTTACTGAAGTTGATCATTATACAAAAACACTACGAACATTGAGGTGTTCAGGACCAGCTTTGGACCTGGGTCAGACTGGACCAGTAGGGAATTGTCTTCATCGACTGGTCCCAACATATCCTCGCCAGCAAGTCTGAGCAAGTCACACCTAATGAAATGGCTAGTTTTCCAACCACCATTTGTTTAATGGGTTCTCTACTGAACAACCATTGTCTGACCAAGGATTTTGTTACTACGAAACCAGCTGCCAAAGCAGCTCGGCCATTCAATATATATATATATATATTGCATCATGGCTAGGGATATGCTATGATATGCTGATTTTGATCTGAGCCGCCTAATCTTGAAGGCACCCCAAAATGGCCGAATGTCAAATTCTACGGTCCTACAAATGACGTAATTATTCTCTCCAGACAGGCAAGGTCGGCTTCGGTGCACTAACTCTTTGCGTTTGGCCAAGACTCCAACGTCCGTTGGACACAGGTTTCCGACATAGACGTGTTTGGCCAAGACAGAACCTACAGACGCTTTGTCAAACACGTCTTTGCGCACCGTC